CCGGGCTGCCGTGCGGGGCGCAGAGGGGCTCCCCGTTCCCTCTGCCCGCGGGGCTCTGCGGGGAGAGGCCGAGCCAGGCTCACAGGACTCTGTCCTTTATTTTTCTTGTTTGTTTTTTAACTCTGTAATGCTGCCCGCAGCTCAGAGGCCCCGGAGCTGGTGACTTGCAAGAGCAGCTGCTGTGGGGCTCTGGGGGGGCTTGGGGAAAACGGGGCGAGCCAAGGTCGGGCCTGAGATTGACATCGTGTGCTCGGGAGAGAGAAGTTTCCCCACGACTATTTCGTCCTTCTCCACTGGTGCCCTGACCCCACGGAGGGCAACGGCGAGCTGCTGGGACGGGCTGGGGGTCCACGGTATGCAGCAGGGCTGGGCTGAGGCCATGGTGCTCCATCAAGCCTCGGCGCAGGCCTGGAGCTGCTGCTGCTGCTTGGTTCTCCTCAGCTGTGGTGCCATGGCCAGGCTTACAGCGCTGGCATCCTACTTTGCTTCTTCCCGGAGTTCGTCCATAGGCCTGGGGAAGAGGGGAGTTCCCGAGGGTGCCACTGAAGGTGCTGGGTAGGGTGCTGTGGCCGCTGATTAGTCACCACAGCGGTGAAGAGCAGAGCCAGCCAGATAAATTCAAAGCGTACATTTAGCCTGGGTTTGCATTTGAACCGTAGCGTTTTCTTTTTCCTTCAAATATTTGACCATGTGAGTCAGTGACTCATAAATAGATCATATTTCTCCACGTTCTGCTTTGGAAGAGACGCTAGAATAGCAGGCTGCTGCGGAAACCGGGCTTATTCCTGCTAGCTCTCCAGCAGCAGTCGGAGGGCTTGATTGAGATCCCTCGTTACTAGGCTGCTTTGCTCCCTTTTGTAATTCATGGTGTAGAATGCAGCGCTGAGGTGTGGAAAAATGTTGGCGTTTGTGCGCATAATTTAGGAAGAAACGTGGTGGATTCTGGATTTTGTAAGGGTGTATATGTGAAATCCTTTCTTCAGTACTGCTTATGAGAGTTTGAGGAGAAAGCAAAGAAATCGAGACTTGGGGATCTAGCTCTTGTTCTTCCAAATGCCCGAGCACAGCTGAATGTCCAAAGCAGAACAAAACAATCCAGCGAGTGCTTGCACCACGTAGTTGGGGGAAGAAGTTGTGTTTTGTCCCACTGAATATGGAGGGTAGCCACGTGCACTCGTACCTGCTCTTCAGCTCTTGTTGTTCAGAAATGGAACTCGGGTGTCTTGCACAGCGTACGGCATGGTGGAGCACGGAGGGAGGGGTACCAGCCATCCTCCTTTGGAGCGACTGTAGGTTTGTGCTTGGTTGCAAAGTTAGGACTTGCACCCCACGTTGAGTTTCATTATTGAGCCAGCTTGGTTCTGCTTTCCAAAGGTTTTCATTATAAATATGTAGTCTTGTAAGTTTTCTGAATGTTAAGTAGTTTAGTAAATGCTAGTTCCTTAGTTGCTACAGGAATTTGGAGATGGGGGACCTGAAGAAGCAGAAGGGGAAATGTGCTACTGCTTTGTCAGGATGTCATCTGCTCCGCTCTTACGCCCTCCTTCCAGGCCCCCTCTGTCGCTTTCGTGTTTGACAATCGATTTTTCAGTTGTTCTCATTCTTGTTACCAGTCCTGAAATTTCTGAAACGCTCCATAAAACTGGCTTATCAGCTTTTTCTGTCAGGCTGTAGAGCAAGCAGTGTTTTTTTATCTCTGTGCAATTTACCAATGGATTATTAGTTACTCAGTGAAAAGGGAGTTTTCATTCCACCTACTGCCTGATGCTTGTGTGAGTGAAATAGTCCATGACAATCATCCTTATAATCCATTCTTAATTAGAAAGGTAAAGATAAATGGACAGAATGATGGTACATTAAAGAACTGAACTCTAGTGGAATAGCAATGAAGAAAAGAAATCCTTCCTCTGACTCATGTACCTGAAAAAGCTGGGAGAACAGAAAGCTTTTCTTCGTTGTTTTTGTTTTGCTTCATAGAATTTATTTGTTTTGATTTCCCTAGAATAAAGTGTGTAAAATACAGCCACTAGCACCAGGCAGGTCAGTTGTTCTGCTCACTAGTCACGTTCCAAAGCGTTAATTAAAAGCATCAAACTTGATGCTTCACAGGGGATAAGGTTTCCAGAAAGTGATATGCCCCAAAATCATTAGCTGCTTAAAAGTGTGGAACGTTGGTTCTAGATGTTATTGCTTGCCTTTTCTTCTGAGTTTTGCTTCCTGCTGTTCAGTGCTCCAGCACTCGCCCTCTGTTTCTCCTCCAAGTCAGACAAGACGTTTGAGTTTGTGTACGTGTTTCACAAGGGATTATCTGAGAAACGCAGTAACTCGTGTACTCTGTTGTCACAGGCAGGTGGACTAATGTCTAGATTGCATGCAAATTCTTAGTTGTTGGGATTTCTTTCATAATGCTGAAACTCGTTACACAACAGAGGAAATGTGTAGGTTATACTGCCTAATAAGCAATATCATGCTCATCATTAGTAATGGCTGGGAAAAAAACAGCTATTCCTATGCCTTAAATATGTGCATGGGATCTAGAATTAGCAACAGTCTTTGGAAGTGGATATTGGTTTGGAGACCTGTTTGAAAAGTGTCCTGGGTTTGGCCAGTACAGGGTTAATTTTCACCGAACTCCAGGAAGGGGCGCAGCCGGGGGGAGGGGCTGACCCCACCTGGCCAAACAGAGCCCAGTGTTCCATACCCTGTGACGTCACGCTGGGTTCCGGTGGGGAGGGCGGGGCGGCGGGAAGGCACTCGCGGCTTGGG